TGATTACACAGAAGAGGCCGAACGTCGCTTCGGGACAGTAGCTAATACAATACAATAATAAGAGAGATAAACTAATAAGGTTCTGAGTATCAAAATGTTAACCTTTTATAATGAAGTAAATGCCCCCTATTTATACTAAAAAGGGAGTAGGTGTTGTGATGATGTGGCCGAATTTGGTTGGTTGTTCCTTTTGTCATTTGCGCACCCATCCCTCCACTTGCTACTGCCCCTACTTTAGCATTAAATGCAGGTTGCCACTTGCAGGCTCCCCGATCGATACATGGGCTCCTCAAGCTAACGGGATGAGATAAAGTTGTCATTTGTGTGAAGTATGATAAGTGAGCCGTTCGGGACTTGCCGAACGGTGTCCTCATTGACTGTTGATATCCCGTTCGAGATCTCATAGTATTAATTCAGGTTCCCCTTGGGCTTGCTCTTTCCCCTGGGCCGTCCAAGCTATTTTGGACCGGGTATTGGGCCGGAGCCCAATATCCCAACAACTACTATTATTTAATATTATAATATAACATATTTAGTTAAGAATCACGGAATAAATAGTGTTTAACTTGGCTTCTGTGTTGCACTTAGTTGGGGGTTAATGAGTTGGGCCGGGATGGGTCAATACGAGCCAGGCCGAGTTTCAAATATTGGGCTGAGTTGGGTCATGCCCTATATGTGTCGGGCCAAGCTCTTTAGCAAATGGGAAGGCTAAATTAATAAAGAAAATATTGTGTGGTTCAAATTTGTGCAGAGAAGAGAGAAATAACTTTAGCCACACATTTCTTACTTTAAATGAAAATTACAAAGTTTTTTGGGACGACCAGAAAATGAAATTTGACCAAGTTTTATGGGACATGGGTAGTATTACTAAAAACGTATTTGTGTAGAATTATTTAATAAAGTATATATAGTGTATAAAGTTGCTTTTGGGCTGAGCTTAGTTGGGGTTAATGGATTGGGTCAAGATGGATCATGGCGAGTTGGGTCAATGACCAAGCTGGGATTCGAATACACCACATGCTCATTCTTCAAATAGCCGGATGGCTGGTCCATTGCCCATATGTGCCGGGGCTGGATCTTTAGCAAATGGGATGTGCAGGCCCCCACAGGCTAAATGGTGAACCGTAACTGAAAGACTGTTTCCCAATTCGTAAATTTCTGAAAAATTGGAACATGAAAAATGAAAAATCCATTTACTTTAATGATTATACTTATATATTCAAATGTGACATCATAGTGTCTTTAAAGGTATACTCATAATCACTTCAGCCACATTTTTATCTATATTTTATATTTTAATAATATTTTTGGAAAAACACTTATTTTTAAGGTGCAAACAGCCATTATAGTATTGTAAAAAACCATTGTAGTTTAATAGTTCGGATGATGACCCAGTGATGGTGAACAAACATATGGCACTGAGAATCAATCAGAGTGTACTGAGTGACTCAAATTTACTTCTCTCAAGTGTTTAAGTGTATTGTTGAGAATCAAAACTAATCTGCCAAAATTGAGAACCACCTGATGCTCATAATATTTTTTTTCGAGTTGAAGTAGGACATGCAATAACTTTGTTACAGTGAAAATGTGAAGTAAAAAATATAAAATAATGATAGCTCATTTGGTAACATTGTAATTGATTAAAATTGGTTGAATTGATAAAATTATGTCTGAAGCGACTCAATTGATTGAATGTGCTTCGTTGTGAAAAAAAATCTATTTAAAATAATGTTTAATGATAAAATAAAGAAAATAATATGTAAAGATATAGCTAAAACTGTCATCTCCTTCAATTTTATCCAATTCACCCATAAAAGTAGCTCTAACATTACTTAGAACCCGTTTGGTAACACTTAAATTAGCCAATCAACTAAATTATGGGAAAATTATATTTAAACTATACTTTATTAATAAAAAAATATATGAAAATATAGTTAAAATGATCATATACAGTAAGTTCAGTCAATTCAACCTTAAAGTAATTCCAACCTTTCTTATTTTGATTATTACACAACCAACGTGTGATATCAAAAGGTACATACACGTTCTTATTTATTTAACCATTTTTCCTACTCTCATTTAAAGCCCGTTTGGTGAGCCTTTTTTTCGACTTATCAGCCAACTGATTCACTAAACACATAACTTTTGATTTCGCGCGTTGAATTATATTATAATATGAAAAAATAAGGTTGAAGATACTCTTATGACTGTGTTAGCTGAAGTTACTGTAGGAAATTATTTTAGTTGTTTTTTCATGAGTTTATTATTAATAAAATATATATTTTTATATATTTTAAATAAAATATATTTTAAATATATTTTTAATAATATATATATATATATATATATATATATCTTCATATATTTTTTAAAAAATATATATTTTTAATAAAAATATTTTAAATATATTTATATATATTAAATATATTTTAAATAAAATACATTAGAAATATATTTTTATTAATATTTTATTAATAAAATATATTTTAAATATTTTTTTCATAAATCAATAAAATCAATCAATACAGTCACTTCAGCCAGAACTTTATAAATTTCAGCAGAACCAGACGATTTCAGACTTTCCAAACGGGTTCTCACTCTCCCACCTTTTCGCTTTTCTACTTTATCTTTACTATTCACACTCTTAAAATCCAACAACAAATTAATTAAGGGAAGGGAAATTATCATTTACCACCCTTGCGGTTTCACGTATTATCACCTAGACCCCTGCACTATTAAAAATATACACTTACCCCCCTCCCTATCCTTTAATGAAAGTTTAATTACTCTTAATTACGTTTAGAAATAGTATAAATTCAGTTTTATAAATTTACTCACTTGCATATTTAACCTGATAATTAATAAATTTACTTGTATTCAAAATCTTTCCACCAGAAAGTACTTTTTTGCAAGAACGCGTACTTTCCAATGAAATAACCCTTATTCTTGACAAGGTACATAACTACATCTACATGTGAGTAAAATTATACACTTAGCAGACACAATCGAAAGGTACGAGCTTAAAACCACAAATCTCTGTTACTTTTAAAAGTTCAAAAATATATTTGAGGTTGTAGAAATCTTGGTGAAACTTTTCTGACGAGAGAAAGATGTCTAATAACGAGGAATGTTATTTTATACGTAAAAATGTTGTTGAAGGACTTTTAGGAGACTATTGTTACCTATTGTAAATTTGTATGAGAAGTACTTACTTTTGTGGTTCATATTAGGGGAGGATAAGGCCCGGTCTCGAGAATGACCGATTTTTTAATTAAGATTTTAGGTTGGGATCGAGACCAAACCGGTGAACAAGAGGCCTCAGGCCTCACATTTTGGACCAAGATTGGAGCCCATGTTTTGACCCCGTTCATTTTTTCATTAAAACCATTGAAAACATTTTAAAATTGGTTATAGTCCGTTTAAAAGTTAAAAAATAGGTAGTTAAATACTATGTATTTAAATTATCGGGAGCGAACCTAGACAAATTAGGAGATTAGAACCGAAGATAAGGTCATGGGCCACACTAATTATTTAGCACTAACCAGTTTGGGTGTGAAACTCATGATAAATTATAATGTCTTTACCAGTATTTTACATGTAAACATGTTCATATTTTGTCAAATGTTAAATTACAAGTTATATTATACCTATAATGATCTCATTTTCAGTGATAAAAAAGTTTCTAGAGTGCAAAATGGGAATTTTCTTGCATTCAATCTTTAATGGTAAAACCGAGTAGTCAACATCACTTTTGAGTCAGTTTGGTTCAATTAAGTTGATTTGTTTCAGTTCTTGACAAATTTAGATTATTTTGATCATTTCCATGCCAGGTGAGTATACTTAGAAGCTGTTCTCTTCACCTGATCTGAATGTTTCTGATCTGAATTTTTTAAGTTCTGATCTGATCTAAATTTTTCTGATCTGATCTGAATCTTTCTGATCTGATCTGAATGTTCCTGATCTGATCTGAATGTTCCTGATCTGATCTGAATATTTCTGATCTGATCTGAATCTTTCTGATCTGATCTGAATCTTTCTGATCTAATCTGATTTGATCTGAAATTTTCTGATCTGATCTGATCCGAATAAAATAAGAATAAGCAATAAGTAATAAGATTAAGACGAACAGAATTTGTCACTTTACAAATTCAATTAGTCACTTTACAAATTCAAACGTATAAAACGAACTACCTAGAGTGGGGTCAGTTTTGTTCGACTTCTGATAAAAATGCCATTAATATGGACAAATTTATTAATTACCGGATCAAATTTGTGATTGAATAAAATTACAGTATTAAAAGCGGACCTAACGAAAAAATAATGAAATTATATCTATAGTTTTCTCTAAATATAGATTAGAAGTTATTTAATCATCATTAAAGGATAGGGAGGGGGGTAAAAGTATATTTTTGATAGTATAGGGTATGGGTGGACCGGTTCCGGTTCGGGCCCGGTTCGGGCCTAGGCCCGGCCAGGCCTCAATTCAGAAATGGGAGGCCCGGAACCGGCCCGGGTAATCCCGGTTCCGGTTCGGGCCGGGCCGGGCCTCGATTCTATTTTTTTTTTTTGGCCTTTCCTAATTAACCCCCAACCCTCCCCCTCACCCCCAAACCACCCCAAACCACCTCAAATGGCCCAAAATACCAAGCCCAACCCAAAAACTTAAAAAAAATTCAAAAAAAAAAAAAAAATTGGCCCGAACCGGCCGGGCCGGTTCGCCAATCAAAGGGCCCGGGCCCGAACCGCACAGTAACCGGGCCGACCCGAACCGCCCCCCAGACCGGTTCCCGGGCCGGGCCAGTTCAAACAGTAACCGGGCCGGGCCGGGCCGAGTCCATCCATAGTATAGGGGTGTGATTGATAATGCATCAAACCTCAAGGGAGGTCAATGATAATTTCCCATTAATTAATTTTAAAAGTTGTAGTGCCCTTGACAACAAAATAACCTGAGAAATTTTTTCTTTGATGCACTTCCTTCTACTCATAAAAAAGGCAGAAATGATCACTAACATGATTACTGCATATCAAAAGATTCAAAACATGTTACAAACACAACAGTCCACAGAACCTTCCGGGACATGTTACAAACTAACACGATTAACTGTTGTACATCCAAGAATAAAAGTTGTATGAGTTTGCTAGTTTAAATTCCCTACAGGGTCACTCGAAGTTACCTCATAGTTCACTCCAATGCCCATGGGATTTTTATGGCCAACATGGTCCGGGACACCAGCGTTATAAAAATAAAATAAAAAGTAAACATTCTGCAATTAGCTCTCTTAAGCCTTAAAATCGCCTATGCTCTTAACACAACATTACATTATATACGTGAAGACATTCCAAGGGGGCAACAATTATTAAGCAGGAAAAAGGAGGCCAACTTGGTGGATGTCCCTAGCAGTTAGAGATTTTAAAGCGGATACCACCACCTCCTGCCCCTGTTGTTCACTCTTTGCGAATGTAAAGGATGATTTGAAGGCGGTCTGCACGTCCTTGGCTCTGTCATTGGGTTGCCCAGCCACAACATAAGGGCAACGCTGATAACACTTATCACAGGTGCGGCAGCAACAGCTAGAAAATACCATCTCCCTCTGACCATTCCACCGTTTGTACTGGTATCTACTTCCCTTTCGTCTCTTCCGCCACAAATCAGATCGTCGGGATTAGCTGCCACCACATCTGAGGAATGATCTTCATTCATGTCATGCGGCTGAATTTCATTGCTTATAAACTCATTCACGTGTTTTCTATCCTCATAGTCTTGATCGTCTGTTGGGAGCTCATAACGGCAAAGAGGACAGGTGTTCCTTGAACTTAGCCATGGAAAGATACAAGAAGGGTGATAAAGGTGCAAACAAGGCAGTTGGTTCACAACTGTCCCAACAACGAGTGAATCCTTGCATATTGCACAAACCAAACTATCGAGCTGGTCACGGTCCTTAATAACAACACATGGCAAGCTGTTAACGACAGAGATTGATGCTGGAGGTGCTCCTCTTCTCAACCCATCAGCTTCGGCGAGATGCTCTGCGAATTCATCAAGCTCATGGCCGTCCAGATACTCCACATCCTCAGATTCTGCAGAGAGGATGCCCACTCTGCTCCAAGTGCTCTCAGGCAAACTCAATGACAGCCTTCGCCGAGATCCTACACCTTCTTCCCATTCACTGTCATCCTCTTCCTGATCATCAGAGTTCCAATGGTACATACCAGCATGCATGGGATCAATATCAGTATCAGTGTCGACATCACTTCCTTCACCTGCAGATTTGAGGGAAAAATCCATAAGTAGAACTCAAAGTCTAAAACACAACATATTTACACATGATTCATGTTCTCCGTTTTCTTGGGAAAAATTCATAAGTATGAGTGAAATATAAGACATTTCTTCAAACAGCACTACCATCTTTTTCAGGAAAACAGAACCCATTCACTCTTACAAGGCAATTATTAACTAGGTGTATTCCCTTTTTAGGACAGAATGGCACTTCTTCATGTCCCAATCTTAGTGGACAGAGGTGGTAGCACATTTTTTTCAAATAAGACTCATTCGCTCCTTAGAGAAGAACTATTAAGTGGTTATTCTTTCTTCATGCTAAAGAAGTCATGTAAAATGAAATTTTAGTCCTATTTACTTTAATTTTTCAACTTTCAAAGCCAATTAAGCTACTACCATTGAAATAAGCATTTGAAGTTTGAACTCCCACCACAGAATATGGTTCCATTTAGGACTGGGATTTCAAGGGAGAATTCCATAAGTATGACCAAAACATAACACAATTCTTCAAGTGATTCCATTGTCGTCCTTTTTTCGAGAAGATATGACTCATTCACTCCCGTAAGAAGAATTATTAACTACTAATCTTTTTTTTGTAGTTATTCTTAGTTTCAACGCCAAGTAAGCTAATACCATCAATAGAAGCACTCGAGCTCCCTGCATAGGACATGGTTTCATTTTCGACATGCATAACCCTGTAATGGCCACTAAAACTGACATTTGATTCACTCTCTGCAATGACTGAATCAATTCCATCACTTTCACTATCAGAGACCACCCTCCTCCACCTCCTAGATCCACTGGGGGTTGCCCGATAGCTTGTGAATATATTGTCCTGGTTTTCCCTTGCCACGTTTAACATATGTGACAACTGTTGTGGAAAGAGATTCTCAATGGACTCAGAACTACTGTTATACCTTGATCTTCTTAGCCCAAATGACCTCCACTGATACACATCTCTCATGGGGGAATCAAGATCTTCTAGGAGCAAGAACTTGCAATCACTACACATGTTTACAGCTTCAAAGTCACTGGTGTCATTGTCAGATGTCAGGATTCTCATACATAACGCACAGGAAGTAGGAAGGGCGGGAGTATGTTCAGAATTTGAGTCCATCTGGAACATAAATAGACAAGTAAATAACAGTATAACCAAATTGACAAATAAATGCATCACATATTTAATAACATATAACATGCTCTGACAATTCGCCAATTCCGTTATCATTACTTCACACAAATACAAAAGATAGTGAATTAGAGACATGAACAAGTGAGTGAGTGACTGTCAAGTGTATAATATGTACTTCTCATAGGAAAATATATTGAATGAGAAATTTATCCACTTTTAGTATCTTCATTTTATCGTATCTTTTTTATCTTTTTTATCATACCTTATTCTTTTATCTTTCTTTGCCTTTTGGATCCCATATCATGTATTAAATCGTGTTAGCCGACCCCAAAATCTTTTGGGACTAAGGCTTGGATGTTGTTAGTCCTCTAACTAATGCCATATTGACATTTTCAATACCCGAGGTTACCCGCATTTCATTTTTTAAACTATTAATCATTTGACTATTGTGACATAGAAACTTTTGGTACCCATTTTTTAATTTTACACTTTTAGTCTTTTGCCAGTAATAACTAAAACACTTTTGGTCCCTCAACTATTATGACAGAGGCACTTTAATTAAGTCAAATACTGTTGCAGAATTCAAAGGTGACGAGCAAAAGTGTCACTTTCAGAATAGTCAAACGACTAAAACGAATACGTTCAATAGCATGCGCCAAAAGAGCCTATCACAACGGTCAGGACATGTGGAAAATTCAAATACTGGTATCAAAAGTGTGAATACCGATTGACAAAACAATCTGAAGACTAAAAGTCATAAAATTCTAGTGAACTATATAGAACCAAATTTACAGGTGGTTTATTGCAGGAAGTTTGAAAGATTGAGATCTATAATTCCTATAAATCTTGTTGAAACATTCATTTCTTTAAAGCATAACTTGCTACATAGCAAGGTGATGCCCTTGCCTAATTCTTCAGTTTAACTTTTGTATTGTACTGGACTTTAGCTCCTTTGAGGCAATCTAGCTCTAATACTTAAGAATGAAGAAATTTCCCAAACAGCTAATATTTTCTGTTCTTACTATTCATATTTCATGCACCTTTGATATCTTGACATATGGGGCATAATTTGCAGGTTGGATCATCTCAATCAACATATCAAAAACACTCTACTTGATGGGTGTTTCTTTTCATTTTGTTTGGAGAACATACGGACATTAATGTGTTATTACTTGTGGTAATTAAAAGAGAAGTGCTCTCCTTGATATGGGTTTCTTAGGGGGTGTTTGGAATTAATTCTGTTTTGCTTCTTTTTTAAAAGTAGAAGTAGAATCAGAATCACATTTCAGAAGTTGGTCTCCTCGAGCTTCAAAAAACTGTTTCTAGGAGCATTTTGGAGACCTCAAAAGTACTTCCACACTTTCACTAAAGCACTCCAATATTTGTTTATGCTCCCTGAAGAACCAGAAGCACTTTTAGTCGTTTGAATATTCTGATAGTGACACTTTTGTAAAATACAAAAGTGCTAGCCTTAGTTCACTCACAAGTTATATTTATGTAAAATACATCACCATTCACCACCAAGTTACAATTACTCCCAATTCCAAAATGGGAGTAAGTTAAGAACAACAACAATAACAACAACAAGACATTAATCTCAGATAACTGAAGTCAGCTATGGTTGACTAGAATAGATAATTTCCTGAGGCCATAACCATGTCATTGATGTAGAAAAAAACAATATCATCATGCGACAAAGGTCACTCCTTTTCAAAGGAAAAGTAATAAAATGAAGAATGAATTTGAATGACAGCTTATTTGAATCAGCTAGAAATATAAAATAAAATATAAACGCAAACATCACAACATCTTTATCACCTTAATATACGATTAATAGTTAAGACTATGAAATTAAGGACAATGAATGGTGACATGTGAATAAAATCCGATAGATGATTTACCTGCGACCTTAATCCCGACGACTTTGTAGTTTCTGGCGAACTCTTAGACAAAATTACGGTGGTAAACGCTTAAGAATACATCGCGGATCGTTGATGGAGAAGTGTGTAGGTACAATAGAAATGGTGACGATTGGTGCAAGAAGAAGAAAGATGGACTAACGAAGAAGGAAGATGGAGTTCGGATCGCGATAGACGGCTTTGATGAAAACATAAAAATGGAGGTGAAAGCAGATGGCGTTCAAACCACATCGAAGCCGGCGGCTACACTACCCAGATCCGAACCGAATTCGTCAGAATGGACCAGCTCCGGGTAGCAAAAAATTACTTCCTCAATTCTTTTTTAATTGTATTAGCATTTTCAGTTAAATAGTCACATAAATATTTGTAAATATATTATCTCTTTATTTGAATGATTTTGTACAATTTTAATAGAATATAATTCCACAATATCTTTTGGTGATAAAATAAATACATCTACACGGTCTTTGTGACATTGTAGTGAAAAAGCTTATCAAAATTAAATAAAATCATGCAAATGAGAAGAAAAATAATTTATTTACTCATATTTATGTGATTATCTCACATGTTACATGCGCACCCTGAATATTGTACTACCTCCGTCCCTTAAAACTTTGCTAAGTTTGACCGGCACGGGGATTAATAAAGTAAAAACTGTGTGGTTGAGGTTTGTGCAGAGGAGAGAGAATTGTCTGGAACCATAAATTCTTTACTTCAAATGGAAAGTGGCAAAGTTAGTGGGACATCCAAAAAAGGAAAGTTGGCATAGTTTTAAGGGACGGAGGGAGTATTATTGAAGATGCTCTAACTATAGTGCATGGTCTAACTAAGAGCAATCGATGCATATATTTATAGTTTTTACTCATTGTCTAATTAAATATTATAATAAAATACATTTTTAAGATTCTACATTTTTTAAAAGTAAGAGTTCAATAAGCTAATACCATAAAGTATAAGTCCATGCAATATGAGAGAGAAAATTATTCCGTTCGATTGTTAGTCGGCTTATGTTATACGGTTACACAAAAAAGCATTTCATATGGAAGAGAAAATTTTCACTCTCAACAATAAGCTAGATTACCTTATATACTTAAAAAGAACTACATATGATAAAGAAAGTTGTCTCACTCAATTGTTAGAAAGTTTGTCTTCTTCATTCTTTATGCTTAAAAGCATTACATATGAGTGAGAGAATTATCTTGCTCAATTGTTTAGTCTTCTAATACTCCGTATATTATACTTAAAAGAACTACGTATGACGGAAAAAATTATTCTGCTCAATTGTTAGCAACATTATGGATGTTTTTACTTGGACTGTAATTTGCTGGTCTGGTCTGGTCTGGTCTGATCTGGTCTGGTCTGGTCTGAACTGGTCTGGTCTGATCTGGTAAGGTCTGGTTTCTTTGTATTTTTATAACTATCCAAGTCTGGTCTGGTCTGGTCTGGTCTGAACTGGTCTGGTCTGGTCTGGACTGGTCTGGTCTGGTCTGGGACAAATTACAGTCCAAGTAAAAACATCCTATCTCCTAATACTTAAAACACTAATACATATGAGCGATGAAATTCCACTGCTCAATTCTCCTGCTCAATGGTTAGCAATTTTATCTTCTGATACCTAAAAGCACCAAATATGAAAAGGGAAATCCTCCCACTCAATTATTAGCAAAATTATCTTCTTGTACCCAAAACACTTACATATGAGAGAAAGTTTTCGAGCTCAATTGTTAGTCAGCTTACCTCATAACTAAAAACACTACTTTTGAGAGAGATCAGAGGGAAATTATAACGCTCAATTCCTAGCTGGATTATATTATACTCCCTCCGTCCCTTATAACTTTGCCAACTTTCCTTTTTTGGATGTCCCATTAACTTTGCAACTTTCCCATTTAAGTAAAGAATTTGTGGTTCCAGTTAATTCTCTCTCCTCTGCACAAACCTCAACCACACAGTTTTTACTTTATTAATCCACGTGCCGGTCAAATTTGGCAAAGTTATTAGGGACGGAGGGAGTACTTAAAAGAATTATATATGAGAGTTGTCACCGCGAGAATCTCAGGTCCGGTTATTCTACCTAGTTCATCCATTGATCATCTAATCAAATCAATAAAGATTGGGCAACCTCAACACAAACGGTTTTTCGGTTTAACCAATATAATTACTTCCTCTTACATTATTACTATGAGACACATGCATTAATAATCTAAGTTTACTACTTATGAAAGGGCCAAGTAAACAACAAGTGCACTCATTGATTGATTCTATTAATAATTAATACTCCCTCCGTATTTTAATGTTTGTTACTGTAACACTTGAGATTAATTTAAAATGATTAATAGTACTACTCATACCAACAGAGGTGCATCTCCTTTTAAGGGAGCTCATCACTTAAGAACTTCAAGTTAAGCGTGCTTGCACGAGAGTAATCTATGATGGGTGCCCCCTGGGAAGTTTCTTGGGGCACGCATGAGTGAGCACTAAGTGCGCGGTAAAGACTCGTGGTGGTTTGTGAGGACTGAGGACAATATTAGAGGTCTGGAGTAACTACCTCGGGTCCAGCGGGGGTCGGGGGTGTTACATGTGGTATCAGAGCAACCCTGCGACAGTGTGCTGATCTGTTGGATATCGGGCGGACACTTAGTATGGGAAGATTTTGGGATATGATTGAGATTGAATTGATTTATGGGCGCAACGAGGACGTTGTGATCCTAAGTGGGGTGATTGTAACATTTGAGATTAATTTAAAAGGATTAATAGTACTACTCATACCAACAGAGGTGCATCTCCTTTTAATGGAGCTCATCACTTAATAACACCAAATTAAGCGTGTTTGCACGAGAGTAGTCTTAGGATGGGTGACCCCCTGAGAAGTTTCTCAGGGCGCGCACGAGTGAGGAAAAAGTATGTGGTAAAGGCTCGTGGTGGTTTGTGAGGACAGTATTAGAGGTCTGGAGTAACTACCTCGGGTCCTGCGGGGCCGGGGGTGTTACAGCTACACTTTTATTTTTTGGATGTATTCAAAAATTTGTTACACTTTCCCTTTTTGGTAAGTTTTTCCTTTAAAAAAATAATCAACTAGCCTTACATTTTCCACTTTTTATCTTCTCTTTTATACTTTTCAATCATCTCTCCTACCTTCTTACACTATTCATTACCCCTAGTATTTTACTAGTAAAAAAAAGTGTCAACACCTATTGCAGTAAGCAAAGAAATACGGAGGGAGTATGAAACATCAACTAATTAACCACTTAGTGATGCTCAAATATGAATATGAAACATGAATTGGGATGTAATTAATATTTAAGAGAGGAGAATTAAAGCTATAACTCACAACTTACAAATCACAAGCTTCAATATAGCAAAAACCAAATTCAAAAGACTACCTAAATCACAAGAATTAAGTCTATATGAAAGAGGGGATTAGTGGATCTAAAATGGGAAGGAAGCGAGTGTTTTTATAGGAGAAATGAGGCGGTTGGTTGAATACCCAACCGGATATCTAAAATATACCCGACCGAGTATCCTTAGTAGTAGCCACGAAAGTGCTGAAATGTAGTCATACCCGACCAGGTATGTCAATGTACCCGATCAAGTATAAGACCAAATCTGATTTTCCCACGTTCTCTTGCTTTATTTGATCTTGTATGATTTCTGAGTCAAATCATACCCGACCGGGTATTGGATATACCCGAATGGGTGTAATACCAATTCGAATCGGAATTTCACTTTGTCTCCCATGAAGCTTCATTTTGTCTCCAATCTCCTCCTTATGCTCCCAAGTGATTTCAACTTTCTTTTTCATCATGTTTCTTGCTTAAATGTAAAATTTCCTAATATCTTCTAATTCTAGTCTTATTTTAGAATATAAAGATTACACCATAATTGTACAAATGATGAATGAACACGGTGTAAAATCATTCTAAATGTGGTATTTATGCACTAGTAAATAGCACATATCAATATTCTTGACAGTCCAATCTATCACCTCTAGCTAGTTATGATGTTATCCTAACGTTGCTCTTCACAAATATCAATACCCATGCTAAGATCTAGTGGGGGCTCAAATGGCTTCCATGATGAACAAATGAATTTTATCTTGGTGTGCCTCGAAATACGAGAAACCAAACAAAAGTATAAAAACCAATCACCTTCAACATTTTTAAATATGAAATATGAATTTTGAGCAATAAACCTCGAGCATAAACAAATAATTAACTTGGCTGAGCAAACTATTAAAATACATTAATAACTAAGCACAACTTTGATCCCAGTGAATACATCATGGGGCCAAACAAAGACTTACTTTAAACACATGATAATCATGTTTATCAAAGCTCACCATCATTGTTTTTTGAAAATAAAGAGCCAACTAATCCTAGTGGTTTATTGGCTACAACAAAGAAGATGTAAGAAATTAACAAGATTCAAGTATATTCCCACACTAATCAAATGAAGAACGAGGATGTTTGAGTCTAGAAATGAATGATTTTTAGTTACATTATCACTACCAAAGTATGTTATGTTATAGATTACACAAATTATAACATGTTTTCTTGAGAATATCATACAAAGGTATATCTGTCGGTGACAAAGGTATAACAAAGGTATTGAGACAAGCCTACTTACTTCTGAATGTAATCGATTACTAAAAGGGTAGATATGAATTGATAGGAGGTGAAAACCTAGGCATCCTAATGATGGAAACATCACTAACAAGAGTCTCTATTTCTGCCCGCACAAGAAGAGGTTGGCATTGATATGAGCTCTTTTTATATGAATCAACAAGTTGCTTTCAAACTTACAGCCCTCAGTGATATTAAATTTTTCAAAATGCACAATTAATGTTTCAAGAGTTCCACATGACACACTATAATATGAGAAAAATAGTAAATTTTTGCATACGAAGTCACCTAATTCGGAAATGCTAAAAGGCATCAACATTAGGAAAATTGCCTACCGTCAACAATTAATCATCTAAATATTTAAATTTTCGAATATGTGAATCTGTGATTGGTTGTGAATATGTGATTTGGTCAATCAATTGCCTTTTTCTTGATAATTCAATTTTCGTACAATAATCATTTACTAGTGTCAATGTGTGATTAGCTTAGTATTCATAACATGGACTCTGATCTGCTATGAGAAATCATCCCATGTCCACCCTAGGTACTCAATCAAGAAAGCTCTTGCTTAAACGCCAGAGGAAGATTCACTCTCTAGTCTGCATCAGAAAAACATGGATGCCTCTCCTCTCTATTCCTAGTTTGGAGACTATGGGATCGATCGCTTGTGCCTGACGATGCAGAAAC